TGTTCAATGGTTATAAATAATATTTTTATTTACTATTTTAATGGTTATTTTTTTCAATTATTATTTTTTTATTATGAGAAAAATATGATTGTAATTAGATAGAATTAAAAAAATTGTGATTTGTATGATTGAAATTATCTCATTTTGTTTATAATTTGATTTTTTTAATATGATTGAAGTTAGATAAACATAAACACTCACAAAAAGAAAAATGTGATTGTTGTTTGTTCAATACTACTAAATAATCTTTTTATTTACTATTTTAATGGTCTTTTTTTGAATTATTTTTTTTATTATGAAAAAAATGTGATTGTAGTTAGATAACATTAAAAAAAAATGTGATTTGTATGATTGAAGTTATCTCCTTTTATTTATAATTTAATTTTTTAATATGATTGAAGTTAGATAAACATAAACACTCTGTGATTGTAATTTGTTCAATACTATTTGTAGTCCTATTACTTAGAAAGATTATGATGGTGTTTGGGAAGTGAGTTTTTATGTAGGTTTTTTTAGTTGTAGGTTTTTATTGGATAAAAAATTTTTGGTGTTTGGGAAGATAGTTGGGTTTTTATGTGGTTGGATGTGATGTTTGTGAGAGAAAAAGTGAAATGATTATGGGGTTGGATGTGATATTTTGTTTGGATGTATTTTTTTTGATTTTGTAAAAAGTTTGTCTTTTAGTTAAAAAAATGAGAAAAAAAATTGAAACCTAGGTTGTCGGCACATCCACACAATAGAAGGACCATGGTATTTAATTGACACTCCTATCATAAAAGAAATTCAGATTTTATTTGATTAGCACGATTATAAGAAAAGATTAATAATTTATGAAATTAGTGTACGATTAATTATTTAATTAAATTAGTGGGGTAAATAATTTTTTCTTCTTCATGTTTGTTTTGCAATAGATATTAAAACATATAATCTCAATTATATATTTGTATTGTAGTATTAGTTGTAAGATTAAGGTCTCTTTTGAGAAGCGAATTAAAAGTTATTTCCAAGCTTTTAACATATTTTGTATGATATCATCTCTTACATTTTTTTACATATTTTTTCAAAAAAAAAAAAAAAAGAGTCAAAAAGTCTATTTAACCATGTTCTCAAAATACTCATAAATCAACCAATCCTATTAGGTACAATATCCAACGGAATCTAATGTAATTTGGATAATAAATGTTATAACCAAACATTGGATTATGAGTATCATGGATTAATAATCTCAACCCTTGTACAATCAAATAGGTGGTTAGAGATCAAATTTTGTGTGTCCCAAATGATTTGTTTGGATATATATGAATTTCAAGTCAAATGATTTAACCTTAATCGTAACTATTTATTTGAAACAATATTATACACATCAATTAGTATATCAATTAGTATACCAACACATACTATAATATTGTAATTTCAAAACTATGATCTCATCTATTATAGAAATTACAAAGACTTAATACCAATAAAATTATGTCACATCATTTGTTGGTATACTAATTAATGTACCAATTAATACGTATACTTTATTCTATTTAAAATCATATTAAGTATTCTCAGTCTAACTATAAGACCCTAGCTATACCTATAAGGATGTTATTAAAATGTAAATACATCTTTTAGCTAAACTTGTCTTTTTTTCACTATTTTTGTATGAGAAATATGACATCAAATTGATCACTTACCCAAGCCCAACAATCACTATCAAAATTTTTGAACTTGAAATTTCACACTACAAAGTAGTACTACACAACTGGCCGAAACCTTGATTGCTGCGAAAAAAAAAAAAAAAGGTCAATTCTAATTTTAAGAATAAAATAATTTTGTACCAAAATGTATATTTTTTAGATAAAAATTTTGATTTCAAAAATAATAATTCGTTACGAAATACCTAATTTCATGGTTAAAATAATAATAATAATAATAATAATAATAATAATACATTTGCCAACTAAAATTTTTAATCCTAAAAAATAATTTTATTTTAAAAATCTTTGTTTGTTATAAGTGAGAAAACAATCCCCAATTGGTCGGCTGCATCAAGTGCGGCAACAAGCTATACGGAGTACCTTTTTTATTTTATTTTAATTTTACATATTTTTTATTTTTTTGATATACGTTGCCTATTTTATTTTTTTTAAATCGGGAAAAAAAACTCTATTACAAAGAGGTGTTTTGGGTATAAAGTAAAAAGTTAATTTTTTGGCTTTTTAATTTTTTTAGTCAAAAAAGTCACAAAAGTTAGTTTTTTTAGCCAAAAAAACCACAAAAAGGCCCCCCCCCAAAAAAAAATCAAGAAATCAGCTTTTAACCAACATCCCAAAACATTCCAAAATTCATAAAAGCTTAGATCAATCTGATATAGTAGTATCACAAGATCTCAAAAACAAATAAATAACTTTCATAGAATGAAGGATCTAAGCCTCAAAAAAAAAAAAAAAAAAAAAAAAAAAAAAAACTTCGACATTGGAAGTATTATTACATCATTCAACAAACCAAAAATTAAGAAAACTAAATAATAAAAAAACACCAGATAGTCACCACTAAACTTAACCAAAACTCCATATTCACTGGTCAAGATAGAATATTGAACTTGAGATGGCCGCCTAATGTGCAACAAACATGTGATATGTTAGATTAATTATATAATGGAGATCACCATTTCTCAAAATATTAGATTTCCTTTATACATGTATGTTTTAAAAATACATATAAATTATTAGGTGTCGTACACACAAATTTTACAATACAAAATTTTGGCTATGTTTGGTATAATCTTTTTTTGGCTATTTTAGTTCCAAAAGACAAAATAAGCTAAAAAATTAATAAAATAAAATGTTATATCCAAATCGTAATTATTTCATTTTTTCTCTTATAAAAGTCGAAAAAAAGCAAAAAAAAGGAAAATTTAGCTATAAACCCCCTTTGCCTTCCTTTCATTGTTAAAAGGACTAAGAAAAAAATTATACTTTCTAAACCCCCTTATAATTATAAAGTCTTGCATAAAGGACAAAATTTATTATTTAAATATTTTATATGACTATTATACCATCAGCTTTTGCATATATAATCAGCTTCGTCATCAACTATATCATAATCACCATAGTCGTGTCTTTGAAGCTTCAGCAGAAGGTCGGCGGCACCATAGTCGCGTCTTCCAAGCTTCAGTAGATCAAATTCATTGAAACAATAACACTAACAGATCATGAGAATCAATCAGACAAATAATATAGCAGTTTCAATTACCAGAAATAGTTCGACATTAAAGGACCTAATCCTCATCTTCCAAGCAATTGTGAGGCAACAAATCACAAAAAGTATCGCGTTTTCTTCTTCATTTGACGAGATAACTTCCTGGATCTCTTTTGGCTCGCTACTTGATACAAATGAAATTCGTAAAAAACGTAAGAGAGGTGATCCATAAGTTTTCGTTGTAATGTTATATAATATTTTCTTCTATTTTCTCAGCACACAAACGGAATCGATCTATAATATTTGTGTGTATGAGTGTTGTAATGTTATATATATATATATATTTGTGTATATGAGTGTTGTTGAACACATGTATTCTTTTCATTGAGATTTGTGATTGTTGATCGAGTTTTAGAAGTTTTTCTTCTAAATTAGATATGCTGATTTGTTGATTAATTTGTTTTGTTTTTGTTTGTTTGTTTGTTTTTTTTTAAATTTATTTTTGTTGTTTTTGATCTAATTTCATTTGATAGAATCAGAGTAAAGTTTTACTCTGGTTCTATTGCTCTGTTTTTTGTTTCAGATAATGAGAGTAAAATTTTACTCTGGTTCTATTGCTCTGTTTTTTGTTTGAGAGAATTAGAGTAAAATATCACTCTGGTGTTAGAATGACAGTAAAATTTTACTGTCAAGAGGTGGTCATTGCAAAACACTTCAGCCGCCACAAACACTGCCTTCGCTTTTTTAGTTTTGTACAGAGTAACATTTTACTTTTAGTTTCAGAGTCTCACAGTTTACTTGTTTTTCAGAGTAAAATTTTACTTTTATACAGAGTAAAATTTTACTTTTACTTTCAGAGTGTAACATTTTACTCTTATTCAGAGTAAAATTTTATTTTTATACAGAGTAAAATTTTACTTTTAGTTTCAGAGTGTAACATTTTACTCTTATTCAGAGTAAAATTTTACTTTATACAGAGTAAAATTTTACTTTTACTTTCAGAGTGTAACATTTTACTCTTATTCAGAGTAAAATTTTACTTTTACTTTCAGAGTGTAACATTTTACTCTTATTCAGAGTAAAATTTTACTTTTATACAGAGTAAAATTTTACTCTGAAATACACAGTGAAGATGGCTTAATAGGAGAGCTGATAGATATGAGGGTAATATAGTAAAAGAAACAAGTTTTAAAATATTAGGGGGTTTTGAAAGTACTTATATAATTCTTGTCATTTTGAAAGACAAATTAGATAGTGAAAGGGGCTATCACCAAATCCCCCTCACTACTACAAAAACAGATAAAAATCACACTTTTTTGGTGTGATGTTTGTTATTTAATCACACCTTTTAAGTTTTATTGAAGTGTGATCTTTGGGAGTGTGATTAAAAAGGGTCATTTTTAATCACACCTTTTAAGTGTGATTAATAATATTTAGATCACACCTTTTAAGTGTGATTAAAAACATTTAGATCGCATCTTTTAAATGTGATTAAAAACTAATTAATAAAACATGTGATAATAAACTTTAGATCACACATTTTAAGTGTGATTAAAAATATTTAGATCACATTTTTTAAATGTGATTAAAAACTAATAAAACCTGTGATAATAAACTTTAGATCACATCTTTTGAGTGTGATTAAAAACATTTAAATCACATCTTTTAAGTGTGATTAAAAACCAATAAAACCTGTGATAATAAACTTTAGATCACATCTTTTAAGTGTGATTAATTACTAAAAAGATTCAACATATTTGAAGAATAATCAATATTATTTTTGTAAGCGCATTTTAAGAATGTAATACACACTATATACTATACTTTGAATCATAACCACATATTCAATGAAATAGCGCCATATATTTCGTAAATGAAAGTTAAATATGTTCAAAAGTATATACAAAGGAATTAAATAAAAAAATTTAAACTGTGCTTACATATATTAAAAAATAAAAATAAAATAAAAAACTTGAAAAATTAAGTCATTGAATTCTTTGACCATATTTTGCATCTCTCCAAAAAATTTCTAACCTGAAAAATAAAAACATAAATTAATTCAACAACTCGGATGAAAAGCCACACCAAACTAAATTAAATAAATTAAATTAAATTAATGATTGACTTACAATGACAAAGAGATCCCAACAATGTCAAATGTAGTCGGATTATTATAGGGCAGCCACATAAAATCGGGCAAATGAAGTCAGCCTCCGTTTGGGAAGTGGGTTGGCTTTTTGACTTTTTTTGTGAGAGGGGATTGTAATGATTATGGGTTGGATTTGATGTTTTGTTTTTTGTGGCTATTTTAGCCAAAAAAACCTGACTTTTTTCTTCCCAAACAGACCCTCACTATCTAAAACTTTCGTAACAAATTAAAGAAGCAGGAAGCTTAAATATACTTCATTTGACTTTGCATTTTCAATTCCCATGAAGGGTTGCTAAAAGGGTTAATTATGTAATGACGCCCCCTGAAACCACCAATCCATCAAATAATATAAACCTTTACTTATAGTAAATAAGTAAGAATTTCACATTATGATAACGAATACTAATAAGCTGAGAAAAGATTTCAATTTGCATAACCTGCCAAAGATTTGATGATCAAATTTACCCACCCAGAAACAATTGGATAGCAATTATGAAATGATTAATGCCACAAAAAAAGGGCAATCTTAGAACCTAAAACCAATACCTCATAAACCAACCAAATCAAATGAAACCCAAATCATTAAAATCACAAATCGATATAATACTCATGATATATGACTAATAAATAGATCAGCTAAAGCTTCAAGACCTATCACCCAAAGACCTTCAAAAGATTCAACTGTGTGCCCGGAAAACAAAAGCTAATGATATCATCAAAGTTCATTCACTAGCAAGTATAAACCACAAAAGAGAAAAAACAAAAAGAAAGAAAATAATTAAAAAAAAATCAAGAGGTTTACTATTACCCTCAAAATAAGAAGAACCCATAGCTGTTGTTGAATAACTAAACCACTTTCACCACCACATTACCACCAAAGCCCAAACTTTTCTATACCTGAAATAGATAGATCAGGTAAAAGGTGAATGTAAATATGTGTTTAAAAACAAAGAAAGCATATGAGAGAGAAATGTGATAAATTTTTTGTGAACTCAAGATTATGTGAAGTCCCAACATAGAAATGTGATAAATTTTTTGTTTGAACACTCTATCTAAACACTATGTTCAGATTATCGGATATTTTGTTCAACATGCTTTTTGATTATTTTGTTTAAATTTTTTATTAGACATTGTGCTCGACCCAATTTATTAAGTCAATATGTTCAGTTGATAAATTAGGTCATTCTAACGGAGATAATCTGAGAGAACCTCACTGGTTTATTTAAATAATGCTGATTCACACCTAAATATGGCACTATCCCACAAATCCACAATGCTTTGTTATCTCTTCATTGATCACTCACATTAATCAATTTAGAAAACATTACATAGAAACAATATCTACAAAGAGAGTACTGTATTGAATAAGAAAAATATTTCAAACACCTAATTTATCACTCTTAAAAATTACCTCTAATGATATGTTTGACAAGTGTCAAATTTTAAACATTCCATCATGTGGGATCTAACCTCAATATCATATCATTAGAGGTAATAAACTATGAGGATGTCGCATTATTGATTAAATAATAAAGAGAGTTTTGTATTAAATAATAATGTTACATATCTACAAAAATTAAAAATGCATGAAGTATTGTCAACACAACATTCTCAATATATTAAAAAAAGAAAGTATATACTATTTTCCAATAATAAAATTAAGGAATAAAAATGAGAAAAAAAAAAACTTTGCTTAGGGAGATTGTAGCCATCCAAGTTGAGTTGAGTTGGGGATGCCTTTTAACAAAGAGAGGGAAACAAAACGATAAAAGACAGCTTATCTCCACATGCACTATCCTTTGTTTAATCTTATTTAAGCACTATAACAAGTTTTCTTGTAAATTAAACGTTGATGTACTCAGTAACATCAAATACAAGCTCAAATAAATTTTTTTAAATTTCTTCATTTTAAATCAGATAAAATGTTTACATTTATTTGTTAGTGAATAACTCAAGTTTACAAAAAAAAAAAAATTTGGTCCAATATTGTTGGGTATTTTTTGAGGGGGAGTAAAAATGAGGTATCAACATGTATTATGCATTAAAAACTGGATATGGTTTCACCTATGTTTACATGAACGTCTTTGAGAGAATTGCAAATCTTAAGCTTGCTTAGGATGCTAACCTCTATACCAAGTCTAAGAAATCTAGTTGTATACCTTCTATGAATAATAAGTGTTGTCCTCTAACTTTGCATGTTGTTTGTCTCTTTGGCCTAGCTCTTGAGTTGTGAGGTTTGTTTTATCGTGAGAGTTATTTTATCACTAGGTCTTTGAATGCTTTGTTTTGATGGCTTGCTCAACTATCTTTATTGTCCCCTATGGAGGTGTATTGAGCCTCATTGTAATGTTTATTTTTTGTGTATATCTAAACTGCTTACCTACCACACGCAAAAACAATAAAATAAAATAAAATAAAAAAATTTGATCACAATGAACACTAAAAATATGATGAGTAGTGTTATTGCACCCTTATTTTTTAGCTTCACGCACCCAAACTCCTTTCAAACTGGCATCCAATCACCATGTGGAATACATTATGTGATCCTTTATATAAACTACTCAGATTTTTTTTGTTGTTGATAAATACTCAACATTCAGATATCAAATTTCACCACTTCAGGTTTGAGAGATTTGTCTTTCTCACCATTTCTCTCCTTTTCTCACCAAAACCACCCAATCCAAACAGAGTGGACAAGAACGGGAAGGAAAAAAAAAGGGGGGAAACAATCAATAATTACGCAACATAAAAATTCGGTCGACAGATCAAAAGGTGGAACAAATAATAACAAAAATGTGTGTATATGCTGTATAAATGCAGATAATTCATATACAAAAATACACATACATATATAATGAAAATATCGCTCAATTTCATTATACAAGAAAATGCAAGGGAAAAAAAAAAATCTAAACAACTATATGTATCAGCCCTGAAACAACCACAACCCAAATCACAAGATTCAAAATTTCCTTTCCTTTCCTTTCTTTGAATTCATTTTCCTTTGTTTTATTTACACATAAGCATCCATATATATGCATTTTGTACACATACATATTATACATATATATATATATATATATATATATATAGAGAGAGAGAGAGAGAGAGATAGAGACAGAGAATTACAAGATCGGAGACAGAGGAGCGGCCGGAAGCGATGCTCTTGAGGCGACGCATGACATTCATTATGGTTTCTGAAACGAAACCCTAATTTGTCTCTCTCCCTAAATTTCTTGATCAATAAGAGAGAGAGAGAGAGAAAGCTATGGCTCTCCAATCTTTCTCCTCTGCTTCATTCAACAGAGATAGGAATCTGCGAAAAAGACACCAAGCCACCAACAACACCACCAGCTTCCCCCCTCTCTCTCTCTCTTGTTTTTTTTCAATTTTTCTACGGTCAAAGTCGTTATCAAAGCCAATCATTCCAACCTAATTCGTACTTCAGTCAAACTTTGATTTTTGACTGTCGATTTATCATCCCTAGGTGATCCGACGGTTTATATATTTTTTAGCTTGAGCTTTTGTTAGGTGTTGGAGTAGATTTTGAATTTTGGATTTGGTTTTTCTTAACTTATCATTTTATTATGGGAGTTCTTAGGTTTGGTAGACTCAGTGTAGAATTAATTTTTGATGATAAGAACCGTTTAATTTTGTAAATTTGTTGAATTAAATATTGCAAATCTAGTATTATGCATGTATTATGAGGTATCAACATGTATTATGCACAGAAACAAAAGGGTGAGGCTCCTTAACCCAGTCGCTCAACGCCATCGTCTGCCATGCTTACAGTCGCGAGAGAGAGATGATGGGGATTTTTGGTTCAAAAATTAGGGATTTGATATTTGGAGATTTTTGGTTGAGGGGGGGAAAAACGAGCGGGAATCAGATTTTGTGCTTTTTTTTTTCGCCACATCAAGCATAACTGGCTCAAATGAAAATTTAAGGTACGGTTTGATAACATTTATATTTTTAATTTATGTTTACAAAAATTTTATAAATTAATTTTTATTTACTTTTTTAAAAAAAATATAAATTATAAATGCGTTTGAACAAAATATTTAAAAAAATTAAAATTATAAACTAAAAAATATTTTTATCCAAGTCTAAAATATTTATATTTATTTTTATATTATTTATGACAATGAGATCATGCACATTTTAATTGGAAAAAAAATTAATTGAAAAAATTTTATTTGAAAAAAATTATTTAAAAAAAACAATTAAAAAAATTAATTAAAAAAATATTTGAAAAAACAATTAATTAAAAAAAATTGTTAGTCAAATTTTTAGATTTTTGTTTAAAAACCAACGAAAACTCATTTTTTGAGAGAGATGAGTGAAAGAGAGGGAAAAGCTAGATGAGAGAAAGAGACAGAGAGAAAGAGACAGAGAGAGGGAGACCCATTTCATTTTTTGACTTTTTTCTCTTTCAACAACAATGGGCTCAGAGAAAAATATGAGTGTGAATGAGAGAAATGAACGATTGAGAGAGAAGAGAGATGAGGGAGAGAGAGAAATAAAAATAAAAATAAAAAAGAGAAACAAAATGAGTGTGAGAGAGAGAAAAACAGTAAAAAGAGATGAACAAGAGATATAGAGAGAGAATGAGAGAGAAGAAAGATGAGCAAGAGAGATGAGAGAGCCAGAGAGAATAGTGATGAGTGAGAGAGAGAGAGAGACACACGCACACAGAGAAAAAAAGAAGAGAGAAACAAGATAAGCGAGAGATAGACAAAAAGAGAGAGAGAGAAACAGCAAAAAGAGATGAACAAGAGATACAGAGAGAGACATAGAAAGAGAGAGAGAGAGAAAAGAAAGATGAGCAAGAGAGATAGGGAGCAGAGAGAGATGAGAGAGCTAGGGAGAAGAGTGATGAGTGCGTGAGAGAGAGAGAGAGGCCCATTTCATTTTTTGACCTTTTTCTCTTTCGACAAGTGATTAAGAGAAATGAGAGATGAGCGATTGAAAGAAGAGAAAGAGAGAGAGAGAGAGAGAGAGAGAGAGAGAAAAGAAAGATGAGCAAGAGAGATAGGGAGCAGAGAGAGAGGGGCTTATTTTATTTTTTGACCTTTTTCTCTTTCGACAAGTGATTAAGAGAAATGAGAGATGAGCGATTGAAAGAAGAGAGAGAGAGAGAGAGAGAAAAAAAAAAGAGATCGATAAATCGAGAAGGAGATCGGTAAATCAAGAAGATGGGATGGAGAGAGTGAGCAACGCGAGCACAGTGTGGGATAGAGAGAGAGAGAGAGAGAGAGAGAGAGAGAGAGAGAGAGAGAAAGACATAGATATAAAGGCAAAGAGTGATGATTAGGGGTAATGAAAAAAAAAATATTTTATTTTTTTAGTTACTAAGGTTGAAAATTTATTTGTTTCATATTTATTTTAATGATTTTTTTTTTTTGGTAGAAGTAAGGGTAATATTTTAATGAAAAATATTTTTCATTAAAAATAAAGTTAATTTTTTTTTGGTCAATGAAAAATATTTTTTTACGGCCCTTTTTTTTTGTTACTAAAATGAGAGTGGCAGAGAAGAAAGAGTGGCAGTAGTGGTGAATGTGGTGGACAAGAGGTGGTGGTGGTGGTGGTGATGGCGAAGGAAATTAGTGGTGAAGTTGTAGTAGTGGTAGAGGAGATAGAGTGGCGGTGGTGGAGGAGAGGTAATGGTAGTAGCAGTTGCAGTAGTGGAGTGGTGGTGATGGTGGATAAGAGGTAATGGTAGTAGTAGTGGCAGTAGTGGTGGTGGTCATAGTTCCACCCATTGATTTAAGTATGGTGTTTGTTTTGACCTTTCAAATCATAATTCTACATCTATTTTTCAAAACTCAATTCAAAATATAATCATTACTTTTCAAAACTCATAGCCAAACACATAAATCAAAACTCTTTTCAAAACTTAATTAAAAATATACATATAATCACATTTAATTAAAAAGTGTGGTTAATATATATATATATATATAAATAATCACACTTAATTAAAAAGTGACATAAAAAATAAATATGATCACACTCAATTAAATTAAGTATAATTAAAATATCAATCTAATTTTTTTTATCACACTTCTAATAAAAGTGAGATATTTTCATTTATCAAAGTGTGATCTTTAACTGTTTTTGTAGTAGTGATATAATCACACTTTAATTAGAAGGTGTGATTAAAAAATATATAAACAATCACACTTTAATTAGAATGTGTGATTAAAAAATATATATATAATCACACTTGTTTAAAAAGTGTGATAAAAAAGTAGCAGTGTATATATAATCACACTTTTAATTAGAAGGTGCGATTAAAAAAAAATATATATAATCACACTTAATTGAAAAGTGACATAAAAAATAAATATTATCATACTTCCAATAAAAGTGAGATCTTTTTTTTTGTCAAAGTGTGATCTTTAACTATTTTTGCAGTAGTGCCCCAAAAAAAACGCATCCCAAACGAGACTTTTTAGCCTAAGCTAAGACCTCATTTGGCAAGTAGTGATTTTAGCCAAAAAGTTAAAAATTCACCAAAAAAATCAAAAAGCCAACAACTTATACAAAAAAGTCAAAGATTTCATTTTCTTTCTACTTTTTGTACATATTTTGGTAAAAAATTAAAAAGTCATCCCAACTCTACTATTTTTTTTACCTCATATTTTAACCAAAAAGTCAAAAAATTACTAAAATAGTTTGTTTCCAAACGAGCCATTAACCTACGTCCCAAATGAAGGCTTTCTTATTTTCTTTTCTCAATAAGAAATAGTAAAAACAATTACAATGGCAACTAATTCTCGATTCTCATCTCTCATCTCTCATCTCTCATCTCTCATCTCAGTCTCTTTCACATCATATAAATTATGTATTTTAACGTTACGTAAAATACTAAAAAGTCATTCTAAATCTACTATTTTTTTTACCTCATATTTTAACCAAAAAGTCAAAAAATTACTAAAATAGTTTGTTTCCAAACGAGCCATTAACCTACATCCCAAATGAAGGCTTTATTATTTTCTTTTCTCAATAAGAAACAGTAAAAACAATTACAATGGCAACTAATTCTCGATTCTCATCTCTCGTCTCAGTCTCTTTCACATCATATAAATTATGTATTTTAACGTTATTAATAATTGTATCAAAAAAAAAAAAATGTTAACATGATCCAACTTTAAGAAATTAATCAACCTAACTATGGGAAAAAAATCCTCAAATTTGTAGGCAATTCAAGCCTTGCTCGAGTTTAATTTATTATGTTCCATTTAGCCATGCGCAAACAAATTCGGGTTGCAACTCAAGCTTAGATGGACTTGGACTACTTTTAGTATAACTCAGGTTGGACTTGAACAATTTCTTAATCCATTCGAACAGATCCGAGGTACACCTTATTTTCAGATAAAAAATTACTTTATGGATATTCCAAAAAAAAATATATTGGTAATTTAATTTCAATTTATTTAATTGACTATTGAAAAAAAAAATTAATAGGATCTACCATTTTATTTAGCAAATGCTGAAAAAATAAACTTGCCAAGATTACCCTACGCAACTAGCTCTTTAAAAGGCAAAACTCTGATCAACATTTTTGGTTTTTAAATTTTTTTTTTCCTTTAATGGAAATTAAAAAAATATATATATTATTTAAGATCCTTGGCTATATATTTTTTTTAGAAGGATAATGACAACACAAATTTTTATATTAATATAGGTTTTCCAAAACACACGACGACAAAAATACCCCTACTACACTACACCAAGTAACATCTATTACTATTTGCATTGTTCTTCAATTATACAAATTTATGTGCTCTCTATATGCAAAATTATTTGTTTTGAATGATTTTATGAATATTATTTATTTTAATTTATGTTTAAGGCCATGGATTATCAAAAATCGACTTTTTATTGAAAATTGCCTATTTTATGAAAAATATAACTTCATTTTTTTTAACTAAAATAAATAATATTTATTTTCTTCGAATCACATAGTTTTTAGGTTTAGTAAAAGTTTTAGACTTAAAAATGGATTGTATAAAATAATTAATCACTAAAATCATAAAATAGAGAGTGAATAGAGGCCAATTTTCGGAGTGGGCAAAATGGGGGTGCTTTCATGTAAATAACCTCCCCCTTTTGTACCTAAGCTCCCGAATTATGATGGATTGGATCTTAGCTTAGTTTTCATCGTTAAAAGTTTCTTAATTCTCCTTTAAAAATTAAGTGGCGATTCTTTGTTGATCAAAGGAAATCAGTGTAGAATGCATGCCTTAGACTCCGAAAAGGCACTAGTACGCTCACAATTGCGCACCAAACTAGTTTATCTAGAAGTTAGTTGAGCTAGTATTTTAGGAATACGCATTTAACTAAGTTTGACCCTTGTGGGCACGCATCCTGTATGCCTTGGTCC